ACAGCTTTGTGCAAGATCCCCTGCAACTCACAGAGCTGGGCACCCGGGCACTCGTGGCACTGGGCTCTCAGCAAAGCTCAGAGCTAAAGGAGGCACCAAAACCCTGCAAGGCATTGCCACAAGAAACCAGGCCCCTCTTCCCCAATGTCCCGGCATCCTAAAAGCTTGGATGTCCCATCCTCTGGGACCTGCTTGGCAGCACAAACAGCCCTGCATTTCAGGGGTTCAGCCATTCTCTGAGCACTTCCCTTGCTGGCAGAGCAGCCCAGGGGATCGAGACCTGGTGTTTAAACACTCCTCGTGTCCAGCACCCCTTCCTTCCTGCAGGAACCTGTCTCACAGCTGCTTCCCATAAGCCAATCCCAGCACAGCACCCTTGCAGCTGGAACCAGACCAGGTTTAGTCACAGGTGGGATGAAGCTCAGACACTATTCAGACCAAGGCAGCTCAAGTTCTTGATTAAAAGCCACCACTCAGTACACACCTGTGGGAGGCCTGGCAGGGAGCACAGGACTCTGCACAGCTCCCTGAGGGAGGAAAGCAGCAACTGCTATGTTTGCTGACACCCTTCTGTGACAACTCTCCATAAAAGAAAGCAGTTTTAGTCATCTTGTTACTCAGTCTGATTCACACACAAGAGCTGCTTTTTTTGGGACAACACAGAATCCACCAGCTTGGCCAGTCTAGGATTTAAGGAGCCAGTCAAGCCAATGCTAAACAAGGAGATCTCCAGCACTGGAGTGATGATTCATATTCCCTTGGCAAGGGAAGTGAAACAGTGTCATTCCCAGAAGCATCTTTATTTGATCATGTTTTGGACCAACAAGCAGGCAGGCTCTCTTGCTCACTTGCAACCTCCCTCCCAGGATCAGCAGCAGGGACAGGGGCTGCTGGGGGTCCCAGGCCAGCTCATGGCAGGGCCTGGCTGTGGTGAGACCATCATGCCTGACACATTCCAGCTGAGCTTGCCACACACACTGCAGTGTGTTCCCAACCCAACAAGCCCTGCAAGAAAACAAAATCTAGGTTGCCAATCCTGGGTGCCTTTGGCTCCCAGCCGAGACACAAATTTATTAGGAACAGCTAAATTTAAAACTGTGTCTTAGAACCTTATGGTGCCAGGGACTGGCAATACTCAAGTGTTGTATCTTAATCCAAGCCCGTGGCACAACTCAGCTGTGAATTGAATTTGCTCACCATGGTGCCACCCCAGCCTCCCAGCACCCAGACCACACTGCAGGCAGAAAGATAAGTAGCCCAAGTCTAAAGAGCAAACTGCAGGGCACGAGGTGGCATGGCTGGCCCTTGGCAAGGGACACTGGGGTGGCCACGGAATCAGCCAAAGCTCAGCAAGCCTCAGGAAAAGGGCTCTCCCTTTCTGCCTGCTCTGAGCCATGCAGCAGTCCCATGCCTGGAAGAGGAGGGAGTTACAAACACACCTTACCTAATGATCACCTCTGAAGCAGTGGGAAGCTGGCTGAAGTCAGAGTGGATCAGGGTGGCAGCTCTCAGGAAGTGCCGGTCCAGGGGGCCGGGCGTGTGGGGCAGGTTGGCTGCACGAGAGCAGGGGGTGGGTTAAAAGCCTGCTCTGCAGAGGAGCATGTCCCCCTTCACTGAGCAGGAAAAGGCTCTGGACCTCTCCCACAGCCCCTGGATACCTGCAGACCAGAGTGGGGACCTGAGCCCAGTGGGACCTCAGAGGGGTCAGGCAGCAGCTCAGCCACGCGCAAACCAAAGCCCAGCCCACCTTTCCACCCCACACATGAGAGGGGTAAGGAGAAGGCCCAAGCCCTAGGTTAACCAGAATCGCTGGGGTTTCTTTCATTCCCTAAAGCTGGGGAGGGGTGGGACACTGCCTGTGAGGCTGCCAGAAAAAGGGAAACTAGTGAACTGGAGCAACATGGGCACAGGGCGTTCTGTGTGTCGATGGTCTGCCCACCCAGGGCAGTGCCCAACTACCTGGTCCCAGTTCCTGCTTCTCAGGGCCAGAATCAAATGACAAACACTCTGTGGTACTGTGGGACAAAAGGCATGACACCAGGGATGCCTTTAAACTCACAAAAGACAAACCTTCCTCAGCAGGGTCTTATTCTTATATCCAGGTTATTGGGTAAGAGTCACAACACACAATGTTTCTAAGAAGCTGTCTTAAGTATGAGGAAAGTTTACCAAAACCCCCATTCCCCCCCTTTTCCCTCCTCCAGGAGACAGAGGCTCACCTGTGAGCACATTCTGGATGCAGTCATAGTGAGTGAAGCTGTAGGTTGTCTTGGCTGAGGATGAGGAGTCTTTTGACAGAGTCTCCCTCAGGTGAACCTCGAGGCCATTGAGAGAAGCCAGACTGCTGTGGTACTGCAGAGAGGATGGAAAGGCAAGTGTCAGAGCAGAACCCTGCTTTGTTTAGACATCCAAGGAGGTCCTGGGGTTAGCCTGGGTGACTGATGGTGACAAAAGGGACTGGAGCCCTCCATGCTGGGAGGAATGGCTGGGAAACCTGGGCACAGAGGGAAGCAGACAAGTCTCACGGCTCACAAGCCAGTGAGACTGGGACTCAGAAAAGGGCACTGAAAACAAGCCATGAACCACCTGATGCTATTCATTACAGGAAAATGCAAGACTCCATTAATTTACCATAAAACATTACTCTCCCAGGCTCATTTTCACATCCAGGCCATGACTTTCAGCCACAGCAAGGAACATTCCTTTGCTCACCAGCCCTTACACCAGAGCAACACAGGATGCAGCTTTACACCCTCGGGCTGATTGAACTGCCTGCATTTCCCTGCAGCAGCCTCACACAGGAGGAAATGTTCTGACAGGAAATGTTCTGATGGGCACCCGAGCTCCCCCCGGAGCTTCTGGCCAGCTGCAGGCACAGGGCTGTCTCCAGAAGGACAAAGAGTCAAGGAACCAGCCTCACCTGTGGGGTAACCACAGGCCCAGCCTGGAGCAATAGCTGCACAAAACACAACACAACATGAAAACAGGTGCTTTCCTGACTGGAATTCCTGCAGCCCTGAGACCTGGCTGTGCTGAGCTCCCAGGCAGGGCTCAGGGGCCCTCTGGCACTGCTGGGAAGATTAATTCCATAATCCCCCAGCCTGGCTGTGTGCTCTCCTCTGCCACAGAGAGGATCAAGCCTCTGCTCAGCAAGAACAGCCCCTGGCCTACACTTGTGCCCCCCTCCCCCTCCCCTTAATGGAACAGATTTTCTTTTCTGTGCAGTGAAATGGAGGGGTAGGACCTCAAGAGCATCAGGGAGGAAGCCTGAAAGCCCCCAGAGCTGTATTAGAAACCACCCTCCAGGAGGGAAGATCAGAGCTGCCTGCTGTCCTCCACTGCACAAGTAGCATATTTTACCCTTCTTTGGTGTCATTCAGGGGCCTCAAAGCATTCGACAGACATTAATTATAACTAAGCTTTGACATCCCTGAGAGCTGAGGGTCATTTGCAATCTACAGATAAACAAAGGAGCAGACAAGCCGAGGTTACGCCTCAAATCCACATGACACCAGCAGCCTGGCTCTGCCTCCCTGGATAACAGTGTTTTCCTGGGATGATGAGACATGGTGCATTTCTGCTAAGAGATAACAAACACCTGCACCCGCAGGAAGGTGTCGTCAGAAGAACCCAATCAGAGCCAAGACCCAAGCTGCATGAAAGGACAGTTTTGTTAAGCTGGGATCCAAAGCAAGAGCGTGTGAGATGGAGGCAAAATGTCTGGGAAAAGAGGAAGCTGAGTAGGACAGGCTTTGTCAGCCCTGGGGCAATACCTAAAGGAAAACTGACTGGAACACAGTGCACCAGTGTCAGTGATCCTGAGGCTTGATGAATGGAGTGACACACTGAGCCAGGCTGGGCCCACGGCCCAGGAGGGGACGTGCAGTGTGTCCCTGGCAGAGCTGACCCCCAGGGGGGCAGAGCATCTGCCCCCTGGCTCCATCCTCCAGGAGCTGCTGCTCAGGGCAGGTCACACCGAGCAGAGCAGAGGCTGGTCCCCAGCCCCGGAGACACGGGGGCTGTGGAGCCAGCAGAGCTGTGCTGCCAGCTGGAGGAAGCCCAGAGGAGCTGAGGGCATCCCTGCAAGGAGGGTGACCCTCAGCTCCCAGCACCAGCCCCTGCATCCCCCTCTCCCCACAACCAGAGAAGATGTGGTTGAATGGAGCCTGTTTGCAATGAGCAGGAAGGGAGTGGAGCCATTTGCTGCATCTGGTGCAAAAGGCTGATTTTGCAGCAATCCCCTCCCGGGCAGGACAATCCTCCCTGTGTGCAGCAGGGGACAGCCCCTGAGCCCCCAGAGCTCAGGAGGAGAAGGAGTAACCTTGAGGCTCTGCTAGTGCTGGGAACCAGCACCAGTCTGAGCTTCCCTCCACCTTCCAGTCTGACGGGTAAAGAAATTAGGTTGTTCCTATGGCAACTGGCACATCAAACAGGGCTCTGCGGCTTTGACTCAGCTCCGGGTAGGGAGGCAGAGGCCGGGGGGGCAGCTCTGCAGGCTAATGCTTCACCGGGAGAGCCGGGCCAGCACGTCCTGCCCTTGCAGCCCCCTCAGCTCCTCCCTGCCCGGCAGGGATTCCTGCAGACCCGGCAAATCCCCCGGCAGAGGAATCTGGGATGGCTCTGGTACAACACCCATCTGGAATGCCCTTTCCTCTGGCCCCCCGAGGGCAGCATCAAGGAGCAGGCTGGGATGCAGGCAGCCAGGCTGCCACAGAGAGAGGCAGCACCTCAGCACTGGCTGCCAGACACGTCCCTCTGTGACACCTGGAGCGGAGGTGACACAGAACACACCTCGCCAAAAGGCACCAGGAAACCGAGGGGGTTTCCCAACCCATCCCAACCCAGCACAGGCTGTGTGAGCACGCAGGGCTGTCTGACGGTCACACCTACACGCTGGCACTGACAGACAACAGCAGCAACAGGAGCTGCCTGTGAGACAACACTGTCACCCCTCGGGCTGCCTGACGCTGTGAACAGCCTCCCACGGAGCTGCAGCAGGAACCCGGAGCCACCAGGCAGAGCAAGGGAGAGGAGGAACAGCAACCCAGGGCTGGCTCCTCACTTGCAGCCCCTGTCCCCACCACCCAAGCAGCAGCACACGAACCTGCAGCTGCAGAAGAGCATTCTCACTTACCACATCTTCAACGGAGCTCTGGTCCCCAGGCAGGTGGGCTTCGGCCAGCAGGGAGAGGACCAGCCCCTTAATGCAGTGCACGTACAAGCTCATGGGAACCAGTTTGCCCTGCCTGCCTGACTCCACAGCAACCGGGGCTCCTGGGCTGTCCTGCCATGGCCAGCTGCTCTCCCCACTCCCAGGACAGTGCCTGTTCTCTGCTGGGTCACCAGGCAGGCTCTCCTGGACCTCTCCAGCTGGCCATGGACTCCTGCTGTGGAGCTCTGCTCGTACAGCACTGGCTGGACAATCCAAGTCCCAGACTCTGCCTCCAGCTGCACTGCTGCTCACTCCAGAGCCACTGCTTTGGCTCAGAGTCCCGTGCTCATCCTGGTCACTTGATTTCCTTCTGCTCGACCCTTGGGCAGGAGAGCAAACATCTGGGCTGACACTGGCTCCATGGTAACTTTGGAAACTGAGCTGCTCAGCATCAGAGTCCACATGGGATTCCACCATGGTCTGGCTCTCCTGCTCCTGGGCGTAAGGGTTTGGAAAGGAAAAGCCTTCCAGATACAGACCTGTAGCTGCAGCATATTTAGGAGTATGGAGTGCAGAAGGACTCGAAAGCTGCTCCATGTCTGTCTCTGATGGGGAGGACACTTTTCTACTGGGCTCTGAGCTTTTGCTGTCTGGGCAGCTCAGTTTTTCAGTCGGAGAATTCTCAGAACTGGCTCCCACCTCAGGGAAGCCCTTCCAAGGGGTGGTGTTTGCAAGGCTGCCAGTCTGCACAGCATCTTCTGGTGCAGCTGCACCTGAAGCTTGCTCAGGGGGCTCCTGCAGAGAGGTATTATTCAGGTCTTGTTTTTTGTGAACTCCTGTTGATTCTGAAACAGCCTGCGAGCAGAGAACATTCTTCTCTCCTTCAGGGCTCGCTGGGGACACAGATGACCTAGTGGGAGATGACAAGTTGAATAAACTACTGAGTGGGATCCATTTGGAGTTATTACACACCTCCTAACACTACCAACTCCTGGCAGTGTTCAATATCTGATCTGTCCTCTGCTACAAAGAGCATCTGCCTCAGGAAAGGATGGGCTGTGGTCTAACCGTGGTGAAAAGCAACCAGCCTTACTCTGCAGGGTCCTGGGAACCTGGCTCACTGCCCCCCACAGCTCAGGCAGCACCACCAGCTGGGACACCACAGGACATGGCAGCTGGGCTGGGGAAACAGTTCTGTGTGAGGCTGCTTCACAGGAGACGTGGACACCTCACATCCTGTCCAGCCTGGAAGCCCTCAGGCAGCTTCAGCAGCCAATGGCAGCATGAACACCAGAGGAAACAGCAGCCACTGGCCAGAGAGGACACAGCTCCAGGGGCCAGAGAGGACACAGCCCCACGTGTCAGCTCCTTGCTGCAAGAGCCTCTCTGTGAGTCAGATTGGTTTCCTATTGGTTTCCTACCTTGTCATCCACTCCACTGGGAAGTCTCGGAGCACGGAGACTTCATCCTCTGTTAGGAACACTGGGATGATACAGACGCCCTGTGGCAATGGAGAATCTGCAAGAGCCATGGAGGTTTGAAGATTCAATTAACATGTCCCAGCACAAAGGGCAGAAGCCAGACTTCTCCAGCCAGAAGGCTTCTGCAGAAGACACACTCAACACAAACGCACCGTGTCTGATTAAGCAGCATTTTCCCATCCTCCTCACACACTTCATGCCTGACAGTGTTAAATTCTCCCTTAGTGTTTTTTCCTAACCATTCTGGCAGAGTATCTCTACACTGATGCTCAGAAACAATGGCTGAAGACTTGGCCTGAAAGCACCAGCCATCTGTTTTCAGGGCTCCGTGGCAGCCAAGTGGGCACCCGGGTAACCGGAATTAAAACAGGCACGTTGGGAATCTACAGACCTGGCAATTAAACCCAAGAGAGCAAATTCCTTTTGCTTAGCCAAAGGAAAGAATCAGGTCTGATTACACAATACCCACTGGCACACGCTGGCTGGTGGCAGCAACACCCTCAGGGACACAGTCCTGCATCCAGCAAAAGCTTGGACGTGAACCCCCAGCTCTGCTCCCCCCACAGAGCCTCAGCCCCAGAGGGTCCCCGTGCCCTGCAGTTGGATGCTCACCAGGCTCCTGCTGCTCCTCACCTCCAGGCTCACCCTGAAAGAAAAAGCCAAGGATCAGCCCCGTGGCATGACTCAAGACTGCCACCAGGACAGCTCTTCCAGCCTACCCGTGGCTGCAGCAGAGCCCAGACCAGCCCCTTCAGCAAACGCTGTGGTTCTCCACACCGGGCAGAGATCTGTTCCTTAGGTAGCCCTCAAAGTCAAGGGTCTTCCTAAGAACCAAAATACTTCTGAAAGCAAGGACAAGTGTCACAATTTGCCATTACTGCCTGCCCAGGGCAGAAATTCTTGGCTCACTCTGAACCAGAGGAAGGGCAGGGGCCTTCTTCAGGTTTGGATCTTGAACCATGTAAATAATTACTTTCGACAGGTGTTAATGGCATCAGAAATGGATCTATTTGTCCTTTTCAGACTTTTATATATTTAACACTAAATGCCTAAACTTGGGTAAAAAGCTAATCAAAATAGCAGGTAGATGAGAACTCATTAATTCAGTAACTTGCAGACAAGACCAAAGCAAATTCCTAGTGCATCAGTCTAGAAACCTTACTCAATCACAACTAATAGAAGCTTTTAGCATCAGTATTTGTCCTTCCCAGTGATGGCACACAGGGGATCCATGTGACAAGAGCCCCCAGGCCACATCCTTAGCAGTGTGTATCTGCATGCAGGGAACACGCTTAGCAACATACCTGGTCTGGAGACTCATCACCTTGGAGAAGAACTTTGGCAGTGAGGGGAGGTGGCAGCTGGGTGCTCACAATCCTAGAAGGACAATCCCAAGTCAGGCAGGATCAGAGTGGCACTCTGTGGGGCAAAACCACATCTCCCTGCCTTGGTGCTGGATGGGCAGAGCCAGCAGCCCTGCTCACATCAGGCTCTCACATATCTTTCTTTTTCTTGGTAACTCCCACATATAAAGCCCATCAAAAAAAACCTGCTGAATATCAAAGGCAGCAAATTACTACTAAAGCCCAAGCCTTGAATTTTTTCATGCTTCCATTTCTCCTGGTGATAAGCACCAATAACCATTTATCTTCTGTGAAATACACCAGCAGGCAAGGATTACCTTGCCTGAAGCATTAATGTTCCTGCAGTAACAAGGAGCAGCCCTGTGTGAACAGTGTGTGCCCTTGTGCTGCTCCTGGGATGCACCTTGGGATCACAGCTGGGCAGGTTGCAGGCCCAGATGGACCCTCTGGCCATGCCTGGTCACTTACAAGCCTCTGTAGAGGATGCAGCCTGCCAAGATGTGGGGAGAGCGCTGGCAGGTCTGCAAGATGAGAGTGGCCTTCAGTAAAAGCAGGGGGTCCACCTAGACAAGGAGAGCCAGAAGTGAGGCTGGAGAATCCTGGGAAATGCTCAAAGCAACAAATAAGCACCAAACCATCAGCATGAAGGCAGCTCTAGAGCTAGACATTACAGAGGAAGGGCTTTTACCTTGGTTTTGTCCAGATTCCAGAGAGAATTGAAGATCTTGTGGAGGTCGCTGGTTTTTTTCTGGATATGTTCAATGTACCTGTCCCACTGCCTGCTCAGTTCCTCCTGAGGAAACACCTGCAGATGACAAAAATCCCAGTGGTTGCCACTGCCCAGGCCTTAGCACATCCAGGATGTTAGATGCAATCCCTCTGGGGCTCTACTCAAAGAGGCAAATCTTGAGAGGATAAGGAGAGAGAAGATGATATTGAGAAGAAACTGCTTCAGACTGAGGGTGTAGGAAACTCCCAGCAGACACCCACAGGTCCCCACTCCTTGATACAGGAATCCTGCTGACCCTACCAGCAGCAAGGTGGTGTGAGGGAACAGGCCAGCAGGTCTGTGCCTGGGCACAGCTCAGACAATATGGGAAGTGTTTAAGGTCTCCTCTAGGCAGACAGATCATGGGCTGTATTTACCATGTATGCCTGGCGCACGGGTCCGTTGTAGAAGGTGAAGAGGCTGATGAGCTGCTCCAGGAACCGCCTGCAGCTGATGTCAGGGAGCTCCACAGCACAGCCCAGAGCCTTGGACACAGAAAGCCAGGAATGGAGAGTGTTTACTGGCAAAACCCAGGCACAGCAGGTGAGAACAACTCTTACAACTTTCAAATGTGTATGAGAGGCGTGCGAGCAGTTCTGTGGAGGGCAAACAACCCCAGATTCACAGGTCAGATGAAAGGGAAATTCAGAAATACCCAAAGAAAAGCTCTGGCACAGACAGGATAAATAAGTGACCCCAGAAACCCAGCTTTTCAGACCCTCTCCCTTCCCAGATGGCCTAGCTCAGTGCTCTAACAGCTGAGCATTTTCCTGAAACTAAGCACATAAAAAATATTCACATTTACTTTTTATTTACGGCATTGAAGTTGCTTCATGTAGTTTCTGAGCTTCCAAGAGAAGCAGAAGCACCAGGCTCTGCCTCAGGGAGAGCCCAGTGAGCTCGGGCAGCAGAGCCAGGCCAGCCAGTCTGACTGGCCCCAGCCTGTCTCCAGGGGACACTTGGGAGCAGTTCTGCCAGGACTGCAGACTCCCCCACACACTGCTCTGCCTGTGCTGTGTCTGCACAGCAAGCTCTGCAGTGGGGAACGCCGAGGGTTAGAGGGGAAGAACAGTCAGACCATCAAACAGGGAGACTGAGTCCTTGTCACAAACAACAGCACTTGGAAACCTGCTTCCAGCCACTGCCAGGAACCCGTGGATACACACAGTGACCCTTCCAGCCACAGCTCAGAACAGGTGAGGTGTGACACACAAATGCAGCTGCAGTGGCTGCCAGCACCCAGGCTTGCAGGGAACAGACCGTGAATCACCCTGCAAGGCAAAGTTGTGTGTTTCCCACCTCCCTCCCCAGCCTCCCTGCGTGCAGCCTGTGCCCTGAAAAGAACAACAATCCCCCTTGGACTGGCAGGGCAGCCCAGACCCTCACCCTTGTGGCTCCCCAGCCCCCCTGCACTCACCCACAGGTAGTCTCCATCCACCAGGACTGCAAACTTGAGCTTCCTCAGGCGAATGAGGCTCGGGGGAACCCCAGAGATCTCGGTCAGGCAGTGCACCACCCCAGCAATCTGCCCACACAGCAGCTCCTGCTGGTCGGGGAGAGTCTGTTGAGGAAGGCAGGGAAGAAAGACCTTGTTGTTCTTTCCTTTTAAAAGAACTTGGAAACAAAATCTCTGCTGTATTCAGGTGTAAGTAAAAAAAATGTAAGTTCAAACCGATTACAAACAAAATGCAGTAGCACAAGCAAATTTCTGGGGGAAAAATAAAGAACTGGATTGGTTTTTTCAGGCAGCACAAGGGCCTGGAGCTTATTTAGAGGCACTTTCATCCCTCGAGTGGATTTAATCACATCACCAGAAGGGACAGGGACACTGCTGGAGGACCCCACTGACCAGAACCCAGCAGGCACAGACTGAAGCCCAAGGACTTCTGTGCAGCCCTGGTGTGGTCCCACCCAGCCCAGCAGGTTCCAGCTGCAGCCCCTTCCTTAACACTTCTGGGAACACTAAGAACTGATCCAAAGCTCCACCTGGAAGCCTGACTGCTCCTGAACTAGGGTTATCAGCACTGACACAGGCAATGAAACAAAATCAGCCTTTACCTGAGAAGGATAAAAGTAACAAATCCCAGCACTGGTGGGATCTCCCTCTTCCTTGACCTTGGAACCATCATAAAGGAAGAAGTAATTCCACCTAAAAGAAAGCAAAACATGGGCGGGAATCACTGCATTTCTGAAAGCTCTTCTCCCTCTGCCTTCTGCCCTGCCAGGCAGAGCAGGGAGCAGGTGTTTGCAAAGCAGCAGCAGCCTTGACCTTGGAACCATCATAAAGGAAGAAGTAATTCCACCTAAAAGAAAGCAAAACATGGGCGGGAATCACTGCATGTCTGAAAGCAGCCGCACTTCTCCCTCTGCCTTCTGCCCTGCCAGGCAGAGCAGGGAGCAGGTGGTTCCAA